GTCTGAAGAGAGCTCTCAGCAGGGCAGCAAACGCTGCAGGAGATGATAGATCAGCTTCCAGCTCCTTGTAACACAGGGAGCGTAACGTAACAAGGCCTTTCAGACTCACAGAGGAAGGAATGGACTTGTCAGCAACCGCTGGTGTAAGACTTAAGAATTTTCCATTGCATTTTTCTCTATTACTACTTTCCTGTAACTCTGGATAGAATTTTCTCCTTTTGACAGCATCGATGATGCTGGATTGGGTCACTCTGTGATTCAGAGGTGACCCCTCTCGGAGTGTAAGCTAAACAATAACGCCCCTCGCCCACCAATGCAAAATTGGAGGGAATAACCAGACAGGACAAGTAACCCTCACAGTCGTTCTTCCCGAGGCTAAAAAAAATCAACCCAACGAACCGACCTGAGGTGTGCGTGTCTACTGAGGCTCCTCCAGCCTGGGGCATTAATCTTCAAACGCGAATAAAGGCTCCTAATTAGCCTAAATTATTAAAGAAGTACATTAATAATTAAATGATTTTGTTGCAGTGAACGAAGCAAATAACTTCCTAACGCTCACCACGTCTTTAATTAGTAGCTACTAGAAGGCAACGCCAGGACAGCGCTCTATTAATATGCTCTCACTTCGGGTTTGATCAGATCTGCTTTGGGCCAGATGGATGCTACGAGGTAGAGCCAAGGCACGCAGCGCGATGAGACCGCGCTTCCCCAGCTGAGCAAACGCCTCCCAGCCGGCCTCCTGCAGAGACAGAGAGCAAAGGCCCCTGCGTGCAACCGCAGCTGCGTTGTAGCTGCGCCAGCTCCCGACAGCCACGCTGCAGCCAGTGCTGCGTTTGTCAGTGCGTTACAGCGCTGCCGTCAGAATTAAACAGTACCGCCGGGCACGCTCATGCTTTCACCGCATTTTATTTAACAACCTTACTTTTCACTTATATTCAAGTGCAGAAGCTCCAATGTGTTCCAAATTTGCCCAGCACAGAGGAACACAGGAAAAAAAAAAAAGTCCTTCTGATGGCAAACTAAGAACTTGTACTGACTTTTTCAAGGCAATTAAATAAACCAAATGAAGGTTCGTTTCTTTTTTCAAACAAGAGGTAGGGAGGCACAGGGAGAAGGAAACACCAGCAAATCTCATTGCAGCACCTGCTTTAGATCCATCTCAAGAGAGATGATGAGATTGCTGTCATCCACACGGTGGAGGTTCCAGTCTGACAAAGTCAAAGCTTCCGTAAGCTGAAGGTGGCTCCCAGCTGCTAGGCTGCAGTCAGGTGGGGTTTGTTTTTTTCCAGATGAGGTTTTCACAGTCTCCATATTATTCAAAGTTTTGGAAGAGGATCGGGAGTAGGCAAATGCTGTCACAGTATCTAAGTCTTTCAAAAATGAGTTTGCTAGTGAGAAGGGTGTGGTTTGCAAAGAACAGACCATTCACGTCGGGCTGCCGATCCAGCCGGCCACGCCACGTTGTTCGTGAAGGGCTGAAGAGGTAGGTTTGCTCAGACGGTGACTTTCTCCATTACGCTGTCCGTGACGTGCACCTCGTCGGCTTGCACCGTCACTGTGGCCGACTGGCCGCAGATATGCTGGTGGTCCTTCCAGTCCTGCGAGGGAAGAGCAGATGGAAAGGCCATGAAGAGAAAGGGCCCTTGGAGAGTGCGCAGCCTGCAAAAGCAGAGCGGGCCCCAACAGAGGCCCTCTTTGGGAAGCGCTTTCTCCAGCACAGATGGGCTACGGCAGGTCTCTGCTGCTCGGCCAAGCGAGGCTAATGACAGACAGGAAAGGAACCGCACGCTGGGTCAATAATAGAGACGGAAACTAACTAAGCAGAATGCTGGCTTCTCAACCCAAAAACCCATCCGGGACATCAGTGTCAGTTAGGTGGTGGAAAATTTACTAAAACAGAGTCAGAACCTTGACTGAAACCCCCTCCTGAAGACAGCTCACCACAAGCTAC